GCTTAATCCGTTTTTGAGATTACTCAAGGACAAGGAGACCCTCTAAAAATCATTGAAAGGGCGATAACTCCCGACCGGAAGTGATTTTTTTCAAAATTCAAAAAATCGGGGGTACAAACTTCAGATAGAAACACATAATCTCTGAAAATTTTAACGAAATCGATCGAACCATCTTCGAGAAATCTTCTGCAAAAAAATTGTAAAGAAAAAAAAAGAATAATAACTAGAGCAAAGCTCGTTGCAAAGCAACGAGTGGGTCTTCCTTCCTAGCGATAAGCAAAAGATTTAATGTTTCTGTCTAGATTGTCAACAATCTAGTTGACAATCTAGACAGAAACATTTAATCTTTTGCTTATTGCTAGGAAGGAAGACCCAAAGCTCGTTGCTTTGCAACGAGCTTTGCTCTTAGTCTAGTCGTATTATTCTAACATTCTCTTTTTCGATTTGTCTCAAAAACCCTTACTTGAATTCTTTAATTTGGTTTGAGCATGAGGTTTAAAGGGTACTCTCTCTAACAGCATTCTTGAAATCGTATCCACAACAGTTGAACTTCCAATATTATGACTTTTGTTATCGGATATAACATTTTTGTTGCAATTATGTTTGTGAAACCTGTCATACTACAGAAACATAAGTGTTTTGCTACATTACCATCTTAAAAATGTATAACTAGGTAAATAAAATAAACAAATTATATAATAATTCAAAAAATCCTAATGTATTTACAATAATGATGAACAATCTTCATTAGTTGCAATCAGTAAGTAGAACAGAAATGTGTTGTGTATTTTTCGAATTTGAAGCTTTCCACTAGCAACTGGTGGTACCTCAATAGGAGTGTAAAATTCTCTGAAAGGTATATTGTGAACATATTACATATGGCTGTGTATTCTTTTTTAGCGGCTTTGGCGGAATGCAGCAATCACTTAATAAAGTACAAAGCTAAAAGTCTTGTACATAAACATAAATAAGAATATCTACGCTTACTTATTCAAAAGTCAATTTCCACCAAATATTGTACAAGCTAAATATAATACATTTAAAGCATTAAAGAAACAAATCTCTTTGAAGGTATTGCCCTGCATAAGAACAATTTGAATCCCCTACACTACGGATGCTCTGTGCCAAGTTTCACTTTGGTTCTGGAAAATGATATTGTGAAATTTTAGACAATGATGATAATGGATAAAATTATGTTTTTAAAAAATTTACTGGTTCCTTTAGCTCAGATGGGCTAATAAGTATGCAACAGGCACAGTTTTGGAGTTGACATTGAAATGCGACTGGACACCTCTTCAATCTTGTTTTAGAAAACTACATGTACATGCCCTATGTACTGAATTCCTTGGAATCATACACATGTTTATGCCTTTAATTAGTTGTATGTGCCAAAATAACAATTTTTTTTACATTATACTGTGAAAAATACACATACATGTATTACAAGATCTTATATTCCTGCTCTTCTTAATCATTAGAATAAGTAAGTCTAAACTTTGAAAGAGAAGACCTTAATAGAGAGGTCAACATGCTACACAAACAAAATCTTATTATATTTAAAAATAACATTTATTCCAATGTAATAACTGGTGCATGTATTTCTGTTACAAAAACTATTTCACTTGAAAAACTGAGAGCAATTGATATGTTCATATTTGTGGATTTATGTTGTCAAATCAAAATTTAAAAATGATACACAGTCTTATTTTCACTATGCTGTTTATTCCAAGTAACATCCAAACAGATGATCCTCTGGCAAATCATGGTCATGCTTGGTATCAAAATTCAGTATTCAGATGAGTCCCACCTATCCAAAAGAAATTGAAATTTTTTAATTTATAATTCTTTTACTAATAAAAAGTACAATTCATGAAATTATAAATTAGATTATCAAATTGAGAGATAAGATATTGTCACATTTTCTGTGTATAATTTGTAAATTTTAATGTACTTTTCATCAATTAAAAGAAGTTTACACCAATTAAGGCAGTCATTTATGCTATCCCCTTATAAGACAACATACAAGTGCAAAGTAATCATGCACTTGTGGGTTTAGGATAATGTGCTAGAGTATTTAATTATGACAAGATACAAGCATGAGGTGACAATGTGCTAGCATGTATGTCAGTGATAATATGCCAGCACACTGAATCCAACATGCAGTGAAGCTAACACTCAACAGATTGTTTCGAGTTGTGTTTGCATGATATTTTGTTTTGTGTAAACACAGCAGCGTGTTGTTTAAAGCTGCATTTGAGTGGCAGTCTGTTGAAATTAACATGCTAACACACTGCAACTTCACATCATTGGAACACCATAATTTTAAAACTGCAAACCAATATCTTATGATTACTAACTAGGTAATTGCAACTGTAAATGCTAATTTCATGGTGACAATTATGCCGGTAATTCACTGTATATCTGAGAACTGATCAATTATAATAAGGCGTGTCCAGATAGGGCCACTTGCTAAAGCTCAATAGCACTTTCATAAAAGCGAGCCAACTTACCGACACAAAAGACACCATTAAGCTATCACACAGCTCGCCATCACAACACTGAAAAACACTTTCGCACTAACACAAGTTCGCACCACACGTTGTCACACTAACACACAACACACTGTCACGCTAATACAATTTCACACAACAAAATATCAGGCTAACACGAGTTCACACAAAACACTATCATGCTAACACAAATTCACAAACACGTTGTCTCGCAAACACAAGTTCACACAACAGGCTGTCTTGCTAACACAAGTTTTACACAACACGCAGTCTCGCTAATATGAGTTCATACAACAGACTGTCTTGTTAACACAAGTACACGCAACACACTGTCATGCTTAGATGAATTCACACAACACACTGTCACGCTAACATGAGTTTACACAAAACGCAGTCTCACTAACACGTGTTTACACAATACACTGTCAGTCTGTCATGTTAACACGTCTCCATATGAGTGCAAAATTCTCAAGAGGGATGTTAAACAATATACAATCAATCAATCAATAAGATTGTTAATTCCTCTAAAGGGATTCCTCTAAAGGGACTCGCATTTCATTTGACAATTGAATACTTTCTTTTCATATGTTGTTTTCTTCTTTCTCCCAAGACTCGAGAGGGACGTTAAACAATATACAATCTTTCTCCAAAGGAGAATAAAGTTCAGAAAAACATATGGTACCTTCGGGTAATGAGACAGCCGAGCCGAAGATTATACACTGTATTCCGCGTAGGAAAAATATTTTAAATATTATAATAATTCAAGGTGAAGTGAAAGTCATCTCTAGTTTCAAGAAGGAGCACAGTTTTATACTGAAAAAAAAAATGCCCCACTAACAGATCTGAAAGTCATTGAGAACCCCTGGTGCGGGATTGGACTTAAAAATGATTCAGTAGTATGCTATCTTTTTTTGTAATTTGTTTACTTCATCGTTTATTAATTATTTTTTGAATAAACATGTACATGCACTGTATACCTGTCTTTTTAGCTTATAGAAAGTCACTGAAAAAAAATTTCATAAGCAAACAAATATATTTGTTTGAATTTTTACAATTAGCAAAAAATGTTACTTGTTTTATTTTAACATAATATATATCTGTATTTTTTTCTTATACATAAAATTTACTTATTCCTTATGCTAACAAGACTCTTTCTCTGGTCTTGGATTCTCAGTTGAGAATACATAAAATTGAGCCATATCTTGAAGATGTGAGATACTGAGGACTCGGAAATGCAAAACAAATAGTTCCAAGTCTTATCCTCCTTGGCCTTGCGTAGCTTCATAAGTTCAATAAAAATGTTGTTCCTCAGGATCTACAAGAGATGTGTGTGTAAAAGCTCATACACATGACAATTAGACAAGAGGGCCAGGGGCCACAGCGCCTTGCGTAGCTTCATAAGTTCAATAAAAATGTTGTTCCTCAGGATCTACAAGAAATGTGTGTGTAAAAGCTCATACACATGACAATTAAACAAGAGGGCCAGGGGCCACAGCGCTCACCTGAGCACATCGGCTAGGAAAAAGCACATATCATAACTGAAAGTTTACTGAGGTGATGGTGGGGGAAAGGGGCTTGAATTTTAACCCCCAAGGGTTCATGATTTGAACTAGAATCTACACTACCTTAGGATGATTCCATATAAATATCACTAATCATGGCTTTGAAGTACTTGAAAAGAAGATTTTAAATATATTGGTTTCCCAATATATCCCTGTGTAAAACTTGGGTCGGCCATTTTGGCCCCACCCTAGCCGAAGGAGTCATGATTTAAACAAACCTGAATCTACACTACCTGAGGATAATTTCACACTGGTTTTATCTTTCCTGTCTATTTGAGAAAATTTATAAAAGATTTTTCCTATATCTTCCTTTGTAAAACATTGGTCGGCCATTTCGGCCCCGCCCTAGCCCCGGGGGTCATGATTTTAACAAATATGAATCTACACTACCTCAGGATGATTCCACGTAAGTTTTATCTTTCCTGGCCTAGTGGTTCTTGAGAAAAAGATTTTGAAAGATTTTTCCTATATATTCCTTTGTAAAACTTGGGTTGGCCATTTTGGCCCTGCCCTAGCCCCGGGTGTCATGATTTGAACAAATTTGAATCTACACTACCTGAGGATGATTCCACATGAGTTTCATCTTTCCTGGCCTAGTGGTTCTTGAGAAGAAGATGTTTAAATATTTTTCCTATATATTCCTATGTAAAACTTGGGTTGGCCATTTTGGCCCCGCCGTAGCCCCGGGTGTCATGATTTGAACAAATTTGAATCTACACTACCTCAGGATGAATCCACATGAATTTCATCTTTCCTGGCTTAGTGGTTCTTGAGAAGAAGATTTTATTAAATATTTTTCGTATATATTCCTATGTTAAACTTGGGTCGGCCATTTTGGCCCCACCCTTGCCCCGGGGCTCATGATTTGAACAAACTTGAATTTTCACTATCTGAGAATGATTCCACATTGAGTTTCATCTTTCCTGTTCTAGTGATTCTTAAAAATATTCATGGCATTAGCCTGAAGGGAACTGCAGTTTTCGTTAGAACACAGTAATTGTCGAGAATCTTTTAAAACTTTCGCAAACATGCAAACAGTTTCTAGAGCAAATTTTACGTAGATATTGTTTGATGCGGCATCATTTATATCTTCTACCGTGGGAAACTCGCAGTTACCACAAGTTTTAATTTCTCTTAATACGTCCTCAAGCCAAGGATTCGTTATCTTCTCTTGAGCTAACACTGTCTCGTTTTGAAAAATGTTTCTCCAGTGCGTCAGAAATTCTTCCACCGGTTGATATGTAGGACTCACAACAAGGTTTCCCCTAGATGCTGGTAAAGTTCTATCATTAAACACAACATTCGAAGTTCCGGCACCTTCTGAAAATATTACTGATGGCGTATCTCCACCGAGTTTCAGGTCTGCAAGGGCCGTCAAAAATTTTTCGGCGGAAATTTGACCACCAAAAAACAGTATGCCACTGACTGCGCCATCTGCTGGCGAAGTGACGTTTTTAATGATTTGATTAAGAAGAGATAATTCAACCCCATATGTTGTATTAAATCCATTTATGGTGCGGATGCATATTCCATGTTTTTTCAAAACCACTTGCAATGTTTCTGCGCCATGAAGGCCGTATGCGTTGTTTTCGTGAACAATAGATACATAATTCCACTGTAGTTCCAACAATAGCGACGTCATTACCTGTAAACAGCCCATTCAATAATAAAGAACAAAAGCATTTTAAAATTGGTAAAGATATACTGATATAAACTCTTCTCTCTTTTTCTGTCTTCGCTTATTTGTTTTTACATTTCAATGTTTCATTTAAGGTCAAGATCTAGTAAATGAAAGGTGCCTACAGATTTATCAAATTTGAGAAATAAATTCCTTTATTGATGCTTTACAACTTTAGCTTGGTCGAATAAGGTGTTTCGGGGCATAATTTGTAGGTAAACAAGATGAAAAACTGTATTTTGAACTGTCATTTTCAATGAAAAATAAGAAAACCATTCATGAATATTGAACCGGAGTTTTTTCATATTCGACAAAGGAAATGTATCCAGGTTGCCTACAGTCTCTCAGAAAACGGTAATTAGTAAGTTCATGGCCTCTTCTTTAAATCAATATCAAATTTAATATAGGTATCCGGTTTACTTTTCATATGATTTCAAATTGAATGTCATGAAAATACCCTATTTTCTATATAATTCTGCTAAAGCTGTAAAGTACGGGAAAAAGAAAGTTGAAATTGATTATGACGTCATAATGGATCTAGCACCAAAAATCAGACTAAAGTTATTTACTAGATCTTGACCTTAAAGCAATTATTGAAAATGATAGATACATCAAATGAGCAAAACATGCATTGTGACTTGCTTTTGCCGTTTGAATTTCGATGGAATATTATATGAATTTCATAACGTTTATCCCTATAAAATCCATAATCATCAAAATTTAAAGTATACATTTTTATACCCCACCTCTATTTGTATATGATCTGAATAAATCGTTCTGAAGAAATTCGGAAATCTGGTTTTATCACTCAAAGACACGCACGTTGAGGAATATGACGTCATCGGGGGCGAGATTGTGACAGGAAGTCTGGATAGAATAGTAGCCACGGATTCTGATTCAGAACTCCTTGTTGCACCAATAATGCCTGTGAAGATGATTCTGTTATTCACTAATAAAGTTTTTGTAGATCGCATTGACTATTTCAATTGTTAATACTGTAGGGCATATGGCAAAAAAATGTGACCAATACATTAATTGATAGCAACATCAAATCGGATACAAGCCAGAAAAACATGATTTTCTACTGTTATACACCTATATATGACTTAACCTTAATTACAAATACTTCTAAATTTGAGGGCAATTACAATTTCATTCTACTTTTGTGGGAATAGCTACTTTTCAGTAAAACTTTTGCTTAATTTAAACAGGAAAAACCTTGATGTACTTGTAAAACCAAGATAACCAAAGTCTGCTTCTTCTTCCTACCTAGGATGTTTTGAGATTTCTCCTTAATTGCTGTAGCGATCTCCATTGCCCTGTACCCGGCCAGCTGTTCTGATTGACATGTAGGGTAGGCAATCAAACCTAGAAAGTATGATAAATGAATGTAACTATACTAAAATTAATTGATATATAAGCAAGAGGCACTTTCCAGACAACAGACATAAATGATCGTGTATGATCCATCTGCGTGGTGCAATATGATTTATTTTTGTTCTGGCGAACATTAAGTTTGATAGCTTTTTCAAAAAACACAGAATAATCTGTGATGATTGATTTTGTTTTTTTTTATAAACAGAGAATAAATAAAATAATATAAGAGAATGATCTCTATTAAAATTGCAATTGTTAAAATAGTACCTATTTTGACTCCCGAAATGTAATTGTTGTCATTCAGTCGCCGTATTGCCCATTTCACTGCTTCCAGTTCCATAACAGACGATGTTGAGACTTTACCATTACATTCGCCATAACTTGTGGAGGAATTTAAAGTGAATAAACCAGCAAAACTTACATCACCCGGAACTGAGGTCACAGGAGAAATAGATGCTTTCACAGAAATCACACTCAATATAAGGAATTGTAGTTTTCTGGGAAAAAAATGAACATGACAAAACTACATGTATATAATGTGAATAGACCAAGTAAGGTTGATTAGTGCAACATCGCTCCATGGTGGTTTGGGTCACAGTTTGTATAACGCGATGATGCAGTGAGGATGATGATATCACGATGGTGCTATGACTATGAAACGATGCATAATATTACTCCATCGTACCATCGCCGTGGCATCATCTCGACATCATACAATAAACCCAAAATAGTTCCATAAACAAAAAATAATGTATTGTTAAAAATATAAAAGCTCTTGCAGAAGAAACATATAGACGACAGTACGAGCGACATGCTAATTCTTCCATGGCACCTGATTCCCCTTTAAATGTTTTTGAGGTCCGTGTTTCTCTGCTCCTACTTTGTATAATTGTTTTATGGAGTTTGCTCTTGAATACTATTCGTTATCTCCATAGGTTTCATTGTCTTTACATTTTTTATCCTTTTCGCCATCTCCTAATGTTGACCCCTTTTTGTATCCTTTGGTACTATAACTTGATTCAATTTAAATATAATTCTAGGTAAGAGTTTCCTACTCTATGAAGAATTTGACTGGGTGAAAAATAGGGATGGAAGGCTAAGCTTCGATCAAGTTAGATCGGTTTTAGAAATACGAAGAAATCTAAAGGGTTAACTATCTAGGTTTTCATTTGAATACTAAACACATTGGCAAAAAAAAAAAAAAAAAAAAGTGCAAGGCATGTAATAATAGCCACTGTATTCAAAATTAATGTGTTACCTGTATGAGAAAAAAATCTCTTTTGCGTTTTCCTTGAAAAAGATTTCCCGATTTACATAAAACACAATTTTAATCGCTGGAAAGGAAATAAGTTGAGAAAAACAGGAAGAAGAAATCAACTGTTTGTACCATTCAGAGCGTAACAGAAAGCCTTTAAAATATTTTTTATTAAAAATGAATTTCTACTGGACAGAAAGTAGGTATTTATGTAATAATAAAGATTTCCCTTGCATTCAATCTGAATTATTAAATTATGTCCGAAATTAGCTTAGTAAATAAAATCTGATAGAAATTGCCATTCTACCTAACATTTTGTTAAAAGTGTTGTTATAAGTTTGTTTAAGTTTAAAAAAAAAATTATCCGAGAAGATTTTTTTTAATCTGAAAAAAATCTATTAAATTAATGAGTTGTGTGCAAAAATGTCTTGTGTTTGGTTTTCCTCAAGTAGCTTACAAAAAATCATTTTAATCTCTAAGAAAACAAGCAAATTCAAAGAAGTGTTGTCCAACGCTTTTGGTGTCTTTTTGGGTGAATTTCATTTTCTATGACATATTCTACAGAATCTTGTCACAGGTAATACACATGTCAAATATGAAAGCCCAATCTCGTCTAAATCAAAAGTTAAAAGGAAGTAAAACACTGTTGACCCCGTATGGCAAAATAACGAAGATTAAACTTTTCTTAAATGCAAATTAAATACTAGTACATGTATATTGGTATTAAATTATCTCACAAGAAATACGATTGTGAAGTATGAAAGCCCTAGCACCACCTGTTCAAAAGTTATGGTCAAGGATAAGTTTTTGAAAAGTAGGTCAAATCCAAGGTCAAAGGGTCAAAGTTTTTTAGTTTTTTTTTAAAAAGGTCTTGCTACAAGTATTATATAGGTGAATTATGAAAGCCCTTGCCCAAACCGTTCAAAAGTTATGGCCAAGGTTAAAGTTTTTAAAAAGTTTGTCAAACTCCAAGGTCAAGGTCAAAAGGTTAAAGTTCTTTATATCCAATGAAAATTCTTGCCACAAGTATTACATGTACATAGGTGAAGTATAAAATCCCTTGCCCGAACCGTTCAAAACTTGCGGCAAAGGTTAAAGTTTTTAAGAAGTAGGTCAAATACAAGGTCAAAGGGTCAAAGTTGTTGGAATCCAAGAAAAGGTCTAAGATCACAAGAATTACATACATGAAGTATGAAAGCCGTAGTCTTTACCGTTCAAAAGTAGTTATGGCCAAGATTCAAATTTTAAAATAAGGTCAAACTCCAAGTCAAGGTCAAAGTTGTTGGAATCGAAGAAAAGGTCCCATCACAAGAATTACAAACATGAAGTATGAAAGCCCTAGCCTTTACCGTTCAAAAGTTATGGCCAAGGTTAAAGTTTTTTTTAAAGGTAATCTGCAAGGTCAAGATCAAAAGGTCAAAGTTGTTGGTATCCACGCAAAGGTCTTGCCACAAAGAATACATGCATATGTGAAATACGAAAGCCATAGTATTTACCGTTCAAAAGTAATGGCCAAAGTAAAATCTTTGATTTTTTGTGTAAAAGTGAGTCAAACTTGGTCAAATTTGGTGGAACCGAAAGAAAGGTCTTGTTACAAGGAATATACATGTCAAATATGAAAGTAATAGCTCCACTAAATCAAAAGTTATGAGCAAGGTTAAAGTTTTTGTGACGGACGGACAGACAGACTGACTGACAGGCGGACAGACGAATGAGATTTAATGTCCTCTCGCATTCGCTAAAGCGGGGATACAAAAAAGCAAATGAATAAAACAGTACGATATTTAACTCCGGACACAACATAGTCTTTACTCCATTTCTAATTGTGATTTGCAATATATTTTTATATCACTTGATGGGATTTCTTAGCACTATCCCAGAGTCTTATGTTGAACTCACAGATATACCCTCTTATAAAGATGCAAATGTATTAAGTTATAAAAAAATTAAGAATCACATTGGAGAATGGTGGGATTTTCATTTCAACCAACTATCCCACCATTCTCCCATGAGAGAAAAATTTTTGGATGGGATATGTGCAATAAAGTATTGGTAAAACATACTCATACTTCAATGAAAGTGCAGAAAATAAATCAGATGTAAACCGTTTTTCATATCCGAAACAGTCACATTGCTGCTTCACATTATCTGATGAGTATACTAGTGTAATAAATATTTGTTTGTTTGTGTTAAATGCCCCTGTAGAGAATTTTTCAGTTATATGTAGACGTCACCACTTGCTGGTGGAGACCTAAAAATTTTGATGTTCGGCACTGTGGTCTTTGAGCACTGAGAGGTTTTTTTTCTTGCCAGCACTTACTTCATGGGACCTCGGTTTCTTCGGTCTCATCTGAAGAACCGGTATCCTTGTCAAATAGTGGGATTCGAACCAGGAACGTAAGGATCAATTCCTTACTTCGGGACTCTAGAACTGACACACTAATCACTGCACCATGGGGGCGACCAATAAGTTTTTGAGTATCACCAAAGAAAACATATATAAATTCAAAAAAAATTAGTCAATAGTTGATCCAATACTTAACCCTGTATATTGAATAATTGTATATTGTTTAACGTCCCTCTCGAGAATTTTTCACTCATATAGAGACGCTACAAACTTCGTCTTATACTTGGCACTAAGGGCAATTGAGCAGTGAGGGATCTTTTTCGTGCCAGCACCTACTGCGACACGGGACCTCGGTTTATACGGTCTCATCCGAAGGACTGGTTTCCACGTGGAACCCGCGACGTATGGATTGGCCTTGACCTCGTATACCTTTGCCGCCTTGGGCCTTATTTTACTTTTCTTACAAAATTTCTAGAAGTAACGCTTGTACTATTGAAAATAACTATCTTCTTGAATTTTAATGGCACTGTACATATCTCATTAAATTTGACTGTGAATTGTTGGATTTTTTTTATACATCGAAAAATTCATATACAGATTAATTGAGGACTAATGCAAAAAAATTATTTTTTTATCACTTACCTGAATTCTGCTTTCATGACTGCTAGAACTGTATGATTTGTATGGAATTTTTTGACCTTTGAAAACCCGAACTAATCAAACTAACTAGAACCATCAAGCCTATTGAAAATTGTCACCGAAACCTGACTTACGTAAATGCTAGCTGAAGCAAGAAAAGGTGCAATCAACTAAATCGTCCTTGTGTAAATATATAACATTAAGTGCAGCCAATTTACAAATGGGAAGTAAGAAAAACTGCATTCAACATTAAAAAGAGATAAATTTATGGGGTGTACCTGCATCTTCCATTTGCTGTATAATCACAATTAAATGTAATGAAAAATGTACAGCGCCATTAAACTTCAAGAAGATGGTATTTTCAATTACACATGCGTTACTCCAGAAATGCTGTAAGAAACGTATGCGTAAAATTAGACCCTTAACGGCAAAGGTAAACCAAAACCAAGCCAATCCATACGTCGCAGGTTCGAATCCCACTGCTGGACGTAGAGACCGGTTCTCCGGGTGAGACCGTATAAACCGAGGTCCTGTGTCGCAGTAGTTGTTGGCACGAAAAAGATCCCTCACTGCTCAATTGCCCTAAGTGTCGAATACAAGACAAAAATGTAATGTCTCCGTATGAGTGAAAAATTCCCGGGAAGGCCGTTAAACAATATACAATCAATCGATATAGTAGGCCAAAGTATTAATTCACTTAGTGTATAATTCTTTGGAATTGATATATTTTCTTTGGTGATAGTCAAAAAAACTTATTAGTCGCCCGCATGGCACAGTGATTTGGGTGTCTATTCTAGAGTCCCGAAATAAAGAGTTGATCCTTACGTTGCGGGTTCAAATCTCACCGTTGGACGTCGAGACCGGTCCTTCAGATGAGACTGTAGAAACCGAGGTCCCATGTCGTAGTAAGTGATGGCACGAAAAAAAAATTCCTCGGTGCTCAAAGACCCCAGTGCTGAACAATTTGTAGCTCTCCACCGGCAAGTGTTGACGTCTATTAGTGAAAAATTCTCGAAAGGGAAATAAAACAACAAATACTCATTATGCTATACTCAATCAGATAATGTGAAGCAACCATTTGTTTGTTTCGAATATTGGAAACTGTTTACATCTTATTCATTTTCTGCATTGTCACTTAAGTGCGAGTATCAATGCTTATTACACATATTGTTGTTCGTCGGTGCATACTGACACAAGACTTCTTAGTTTGTTTGTTTTTAAGCCCAATACACATATTATACCAGTCAACAAGGGTGCATATTGTCGTGTTCAAAATGTTTAAAATAAAAATTGCAGTGGAAGACAAATGCGAGATAATAAAGGACATTGAGTGAGGATACAGTGTAGGTTATATTATCCCCACTCAAAATTTGTATTAAATATATGGAGATATCAAACAATTTTGAAGCTCAGAAGTCCATTAAACAATGCAAAATTATGAGAAGAGCAGACAGAGGGATCAGAGGTAGGATCATGTGCCATGGAGGAGTGAGCATCCCCTGCGAACCGGACAATGTTTTGTTCGGAGTTTAATGTCGTACTGTTTTATTCGTTTGTTTGTTTTTTCTTAGAGATTAATGCAAGATTCAGTTTTAGTAATCTACTTGAGAAACACCAAACACAAGACATTTCCGCACACAACTCATTTGATTTAATCGACCCTCTTTTAAGATAAAAAAATCTTTATTGGAGAAATGATTTTTAACCTTTAATCAAAATGTTACGTAAAATGGTAATATTTATCAGATTTTATTTACTATGCTAATTTTGGACATAATTTGAAAAATTCGGATTGAATTCAAGGAAAATCTTTATTATTAAATGTATACCCACTTTCTGTCCAGTAAAATTTCATTTCTAATAAAAATGATTTTTGTTACGCTCTAAATGGTACAAACAGTTGATTTCTCCTTCCTGTTTTTTTAAACTTATTTCCCTTCCAGCGATTTAATTTGTGTTGTTACGTAAGAAAAGGCAAGAAAAATTTCACGAGGAAAACTTTAAAGTGATTTTTCGCATACACGTAACACATTAATTAACAATGAATATCGTGGTTCTTATTTCCTTACAATTGTTTGTTAACGCGTTCAGTAATCAACTGAAGACCTAGATAACTTGCCCCCTAGTTTTCTTCGTTATTCAAAAACTTTTCTTGAAAATATGTTCTTTTCTTCTTTTTTAAAGTCTTCTTGGGTTTCATTGCGTTCTTCGACTATGGACATTGCTTACCTTTGCAAAATGTTCATTTCGCTTCACACAATGTATTTAATTTCCACACAGGCATCTTTTTTCATAAAAAATCTCTACTTGGAAAATTATATTCAATTTAATCAAAATGTTAAGTAAAAGGTGGTAATATTTATCAGATTTTATTTACTATGCTAATTTTGGACATAATTTGAAAAATTGAAGACAATGTGATTAATGGCTATAGGTTTGCAAAAAATCTTTCATGAAATAAATGTATACCCACTTTAAAGCTCAAAAGTCCATAAAATTTCATTTCAAAAAAATGATTTTTGTTAAACGCTCTAAATGGTACAAACATGTTCATGTCTCCTACCTGTTTTTTTAACTTATTTCCCTTCCAGCGATTTAATTTGTGTTGTTACGTAAGAAAACGCAAGAAAAATTTCACGAGGAAAACTTTAAAGTGATTTTTCTCGATATGCAGTAACACATTAATAAAATTGCTATATCGGTTCTTATTTCCTTACAAATGTATATGTAAATAACTAACAAATAAAATGTTTATTTGTTTATAAGCATACAAATAAACATTTCTCTATTTTTTCTTTACCGTTATTCAAAATCTTTTTTCAAAATATGTTGATTGGTTTTCACAATTAATTGATAGGTTTGATTGCCAGAAGGTAATACATTGTTTTGAAGACCAATGTTATAATTACCTCATTAAATAATTTAACAAGATGCTCATTTCCAAACATGTGGACACTTTTTCCATTTTACAAAGAAAATCTCTTTCCATAAAATTATATTAATTTGAATTGGATTTATCGTGACTTCAAATTTCTAAATGACTATTCTTCATTTATATGTGACATATATCGTGGGGTTGAAAGGATAAAAAAGTGTGAAGACAATGTAAAATGAAACATTGAATATTTATTTTTCTTCTGATTTATTAAATTTTTTGATTATAATTATATTTAAATAAAGTTATAAAACAATTCAAAATAGGGGCGATGAGTAATATATGAGATAAAACATACATATTGATATCAGGTTCCATGGGTACTCGATCGGAAGATTGAGCGAGTAACCGGTTACATCCGCCGTGTGCTCCTTGTCATCATCGGGAAATAACGGAAAAATCCGTCGTGAATTCAGCGTCTATATAATTGAAAACGTCGACGTCAGTCATCATAACTTAATGATAAATGCTATTTGCTGACAAGGTCATTTTATCGACCATAAACAAGACTTGTTTGTCAATAATTTACCTCGTTTTAGATAGAAATTGTACATACGTAGAACATGCTCTTGCGTATCGAATGATTTGAGAGACATAAACCACGTATGCAGTTATTAAGGTATATTGCTGCATAAATAAGGGAAGTTGACGCTTGAAAAGTTAAAGTCATCACGTTTATCATAGAGCTTAGTTGTTAGATTACCATTAAAGTCTTTTTCAAGTAAAATATCCAAATATGAAAATAACATGTGTCAGACTCTGTGGTATCTTTTTTCTCAAGCTCAACGGGATATATCGTATCGACATAAGATGGATATAATCTATCTTAATTAACAATCCGTCGTCGATATATCTAAATGTTGAGTTGAAGGCCACATGAACTGTTTTGAATTCTTCTTTTCACGTACAAGATTTTGAACGAACTCTGCTTCATATAAACTCAAAAATAGGTCTGCAAATAACAGGGCGCAATTTTTTTAAAAAAAAATTTCGATGGTACGATGGTACTGTGAAGCATCGCTTAATAGTAATAGCACTATCGTCATTTCTTTTTCCCATCTTCGCTCTTTTGCCTCTATCCACCATTGCGCGATATTGCACTATTTTAAAACAACCCACAGGGTCCATTCACATTATATATTTTTGTCATGTTCATTTTTTTCAGAATACCGCAATTCCTTATATTGAGCTTGATTTCAGTGGAGGCGTCAATTTCTCCTGTGACGTCAGTTCCTGGTGATGTAAGTTTTGCTGGTTTATTCACTTTAAACTCCTCCACAAGTTCCAGCGAATGTAATGGTAAAGTCTCATCTTCGTCTGTTATGGAACTGGAAGCAGTGAAATGGGCAATACAACGACTGAATGACAACAATTACATTCCCGGAGTCAAATTAGGTAAAACTTTCTTAACAACAAACATTATTTAATTTTTTTTTTTTTAAAAGATTACCTGTTTAAGTAAATATATATAAAGATCATTCTCTGTAATCTTTTTAATTTGTTTTTAAAAATTAAAATATAACAAAACAAAATCAATCATCCCAGATTATTCTGTTATTTAAAAACAAAGCTTATATACAGAACAAAAGTGCAAGTTGATTAAAGTCTCAAATATATTCATATCATAGAACACCATATAGATGGATGAAGTTTCGTACACGTACACGTAACTATGTCTGTTTACTGGAAATGCTCTCTTGCTTGTTTATCAATAAATCTTATATATCCGAATCCCTAGGATTGATTGCGTACCCTACATGTCAATCAGAACAGCTGGCCGGGTACAGAGCAATGGAGATCGCTACAGCAATTAAAGAGAAATCACAAAATATCCTAGGTAGGAAGAAGAAGCACACCATGGATATTTTCATGATTTTACCAGTAAATCAAGGTTTTTCTGCTTTGCATAAGCGAGGAAGGTTTTACTAAAAAGCAGCTTTTCCATCAAAAGTAAATTTAAAACTTCAAATTGAATACAATTAACTGTACCATATATATAAAATCGATACATAAAAATTTATATATTGCAATGTAATTGCCCTAAAAATATGGAGTAATTTAGGTTAAGTCTTATAGGTGTAAAGCAGTAGAAAGGTTTTAATACAATGTGAATCTTGTATGAATCCTGTTTTTCTGTCTTCTATCCGACTTAATGTTGTTGTCAGTTATATTGGTCACAATTTTTGGCCATATGCTCTAGAGTATAGACAATTGAATAAGACACTGCGATCGCCCAAAACTTTACTGATGAATAACAGAGTAAACCAAACATCTTCACAGGCATCATTGGTGCAACAAGGAGTTCTGAATCGGAATCCGTGGCTACTATTCTGTCCAGACTTCCTGTCGCAATCTCGCCCCCGATGATGTCATATTCCTCCACCTCCGTGTCTTTGAGTGATAAAACCAGATTTCCGAATTTCTTCAGGACGATTTATTCAGATCATATACAAATAGAGGTGGGTTTTAAAAACATAAACTGTAAACCAACTTTTATTCGCGTGCGAGAAATTTTTGCGAAGTTCGCGACAGTCTCATCATCGCGAATATTTCTCGCCGCGAACCAGTACTTAAAGTCTCTCTTTCTATTTACAACAGACTGAAAAAAGGCCTGATCGCGAAAATTAATCGTCGCCAACTAGTTTACCCCTGGTAAATCGCGAAATAAAGTCGCGAATAAAAGTTGGTTTACAGTACTTTGAATTGAATGTTTTCTGCAAATTACGGCTTTTAGAAGGATAAAAAAAGCAATCATGCACTTTTGAAGTTCTAATTGATGTCATATCATATTCAGTAACCGCTTTCATTTGAAAAATTGAAATGTTCATTGTAAGAACAAAAGAGACAAACACAGGGAAAGGGAGAAGTGTGTATGAGATAACCATTTTTTCATGCTCAAAAATATTTATATGAACTATTTTCAGGTAATGACGTCACTGCTGTTGGAATTACAATGGAATTATGTATCGATTGTTCACGAAAACAACGCATACGGCCTTCATGGCGCAGAAACATTGCAAGTGGTTTTGGAAAAACACGGAATATGCATCCGCACAATAAATGGATTTAACACAACGTATGGGGTTGAATTATCTCTACTTAATCAGATCATTAAAAACATCACTTCACCGGCAGATGGCGCAGTCAGTGGAATACTGTTTTTTGGTGGTCAAATTTCCGCCGAAAAATTTTTGACGGCCCTTGCAGACATGAAGCTTGGTGGAGATACGCCATCAGTAATTTTTTCAGAAGGTGCCGGAACCTCAAATATTGTGTTTAATGATAGAACTTTACCAGCATCTAGAGGAAACCTTGTTGTGAGTCCTACATACCAACCAGTGGAAGAATTCCTGACGCACTGGAAAAATATTTTTCAAAACAAGACATTCCTGGCTCAAGAGAAGATAACGAATCCTTGGCTTGAGGACGTATTAAGAGAAATTAAAACTTGTGGTAACTGCGAGTTTCCCACGGCAGAAGATATCAATAATGCCGCATCAAACAATATCTACGTAAAATTTGCTCTAGAAACTGTTTGCATGTTTGCGAAAGTTTTAAAAGATTCTCGACAATTATTGTGTTCTAACGAAAATTGCAGTTCCCTTCAGGCCAATGCCATGAATATTTTTTCAAATTCTTTAAAATCTGTCGACGTGAACGTGTCTGTCGAGTTTTCAACAATTCTTCCTACAAATAGTCGATTAAAATTTGACAAAAATGGTGATATTGACTCCAATATAAAGAGAACCGAGTTGTCGGTATATAACCACCGAAAATGTGTTGCAGACAATTCAAAATTTTGTTTTGTCCAGGTATGTATCTATTGTTCATACGATGAAAAAAGATTTAGCAAATGAAAGGATTTATACTTACAGAGTTCCAAATGAGTAAAAAATCCTCGAGAGGGACGCTAAACAATAAACTAACAAATAGAGATCATGGCGGTTGTGACCGGTCAACAGGGGATGCTTACTCTTCCTAGCCACCTGATCCTACCTCTGGAATTTCCAGGGGTCCGCATTTATGCCCTCTGCACATATATGTATTGTTTAACGATATTTTTAAGATCAACCACTACTCCTTAACTGCATCTTTTACATTACAACAATCTGAATGACATCTTTATCACTATTGATTAATCATTGTTTCTTGAATGTTTCCTTCATCGTTATTTTTGTTTAGGTTGAAGAGGTTGCATAACCCTTTTTAAATTTAAATCTTTCTTTTTTTAAAAAAAAATCTTCACATTTGGAATCTGACAGAAACATACATGAAGTGATAATGTGAGCAAAAACTGAGCTTCCACAAATGTAGTAGTGTGATTTTTTGATACTGTAAAAGAGAACTGCATTGAAAATAATTCCCATCTCCAATTTTTTCTTAAAAGTAGATTTTTATTTCACAATTGATGCTCTTTCCTTATAACATACTGGGGTTTATTTGTTTTTGTATCAAGTGTCTTTTTTAAAATCAAAAAAACATTTTGCAGACATTTTTGTTTTGGATTTTGGAGTTAAAGTAGAGAGTTATTTTAAAAAGATTTAATTTTTTGCAGGTGGCGAATTACTTTGACGATAAAATTTCTATAAATAGAACTTTACTGAAGGATTACGACCAAAGAGGTATCGAGAGAAGCTTCCACAAAGCCCAGTGTAAACAAGGCGACATCTGTACGTCCTGTATTGGAAACCACGAACACTTATACTACAAACCCGGAGACCTGATCATTGTTGCGGCATTCCCTATCCATAACGTCGGCACTGAACCCTTACGGTGCGGAGGATTGCGGAGTAATACGGGTCTTGACGTAGCTTTGGCCATAGAACACGCCGTGGAAACGATTAATAAAGATTCAACAATTTTCAGTGATACTTCAATCGGTTTCATAATTTTAGATACTTGTAACGACCCTTTAATCATTCAGCAACGAGTATTACATCTATTTCGGAAAGATGGATATCGAAGACTTCCGCCGGATATCGCAGATAGGATTCTTGGTTATGTTGGATCGTTAGGGAGTACACCGACTATTGCAATGGTCTCTGTCACAAAGAAGCTTGAAGGAAAGCCCCAGGTATCCACGAATATAGATTAATTTTCTTTTTGATAAAATTTTTTCTCGAAAAAAAAATCAATAAATAAGATTTTTGTTATCTAAGTATACAGCGTGATTTTTCTTCGCTTGGGTATTTTTTTATTATTTTTATAATTCCCGTAAAATTATAAGTTCCGCAGGTTCTATATTCAAAATTTACATATTGCGTTTTAAACAATTGATTCTTTTCTTCATTGCACGAATTTAACATTGTTTATTTGAAAAATCCTGTCTCATTTTCATTGCTGAAAGGTTGGATGTTGTTCAACGTCTCCATTGCTTTCCAACAAAGAACGATATCCAAATTTTGTACGAGTTTCAACGCCACTTGATAGGACAGCAGATACGATGGTTCAAGTAGCCAAAAAACTAAATGCAAGGTACATTCAAATCATATATAGCTCCGGATCCTATGGTGAAGGTGGAAAAAATGCCATCATATCCAGTGCGAAGAAGTATGGTGTCTGTGTAGCAAACTCAATTGAAGTGCCAGAAAAATCTAACTATAACACAGTTCTAGACAAACTTAGAGTTAAACCCTCGGCCAAAGTGGTTTTGACTTTTCTTCGATCTCACGTTGGGCCACATGTTATGCAGGTTACGGCGAACAAGATGCAAGCAGAGGGTGAGTTTTACTTCATAGCATCAGAAACTCTTGGCACGCGTACACAGTATCTCATTCCGAGATTGAGAGGGACTGTATCTGTTGCGCAGGTGATGCCACAAGATACCTCCTATTTGCAATATTTGAGAACCAAGTCGCCAAAACCAACAGACGACAATTCTTGGCTTCTTGATATTATTCAAAGTCGCCAACGATGCTACTTTCCGTGGAGCTTTAATAAAACTGATGCTCTAACTCGGCAATGTGGTTCAAGTGACCATATTTTTAATAACGCTAGCCTTTTGGTTGACCCATGGGCACCATACCTTTTAAATGCTGCTTTAGCCTTACTGAAGGGTTCCGATAGTGCATTGCGCGATATATGCCAAACAACGAAAACAATTTGTTCTGGATATTCTAATACAAACAAGGTTCTGCAACACATAAAAAATGTCAACCTTGATCTCAATCAAAACGGTTCATCAGTTCCAGTTTTTGATGAAAACGGAAATGGGATATACGGTCATACAATATATGCCATCGTATCTGAAGAAGGAAAATTGACTTTCAAAATGGTAAGCTTTGGGCAAATCTCATGTAATATTTACATGTGGTACTTCTATTTATTCTCCATCTTCAAGAAAAGTGGCTAATTTGTAACATGGAATTTTCATTAGATAGGACACTGGTCACAGTCAGCCGGTTTAACTTTTGGTTATGAAGACGAAATTTTCCCGGGTTATTCTGGTCAGACAGAGTGTCCAAATCCACAGGACTGTAAATTCTGCAACAGTTTGCTGCAGACAGATGGAACTGGAAGTGATGTCGGTGCAGTGACGTCATCTGAACTGTAAGTTGACTGAAGATTGATTTACGATTATTGATTAAAGATTGCTTTACCAGTATTATTCCTATCTGTATTATAAAACAGAATATTTTAATTTACACATGTAATTAATATGTTAACGTTTGAAAAACTGCAAATGAGAAAATGATATTCATATTTCTTTGCTGGACAACTAATTGAAGAGAAGATATATTTGTCAACTTCCCATTTCTGAAAAATAATTTTAAATAATATGTTGATATTAAACACAAGAAATGTTCAAACAAACTTCAAAATTGGGCTGCAAACCTGATATTCTGCAAAATTTATTCATAATCATTCCTAAAATGACGTGAAAACGTTGCAACATTGCTCAAACCTTGAGGTTTATTTTCTAAAAACATATGGATAATTATAAAAAATTTTGTTGTTCTTTTTTAGTTCAAATGTCTTCGTAAAATTGTGGTTCATATTCGGATTTTTATTTGGATTTTTATGCGAAACTTGTGATTGGATTGCGAGACGTATTCTCTTGATTTACAGGCAAAATCATCGATATTTGTATTTGCAGTTATATTATTTATTTGGCTAAAGTCGCAGATAAGCATATAATACAATGAGTATATGTATAACGAATGCCGAATACCAATTGTAATTCTTATATTCCTAGGTTATTTTAAATATGAATTCAACTTTTTGCAAGCAAAGCAAAGTTGACAAATTAACAATGTAAATTCAACAAATATAAATCACAAATCAAGATTTAGAACGTGTATCAATTACCAGTTTACGAACATGAAATTAAATTTAATAACAAGATTTTGTATTTAAAAAATTACATGTTTTATGTAATATAATGAACACTTTTTGTAAAAAAAAAATCTGTTAGATTGTTTAAAATACAAATTTGTATATAGACGCCTTTGAACCAGATGCCTTTGGAATGCTATCAAGAAACAAGAGTGCTGTATGTTAAATGAAAAAATACTGATTTCAAGTAAAATGTTGTATTTTGTCTTACCCAGGTCATCAACGGCAAATATCTCTCTGACTGTAGCTGTATCGGTCACAAGTTTTCTTGCTATTGTATTCATCGGTATCTTTTGTTACCAGTGCTATCAAAAACGTCAAGGTAACTAGTTTTTTATTAGGTCACCTGAGTAAACTCAGGTGACCTATTGCTATCTGTTTTCGTCCGTCGTCGTTCGTCGTACGTCGTACGTCGTTCGTAAACTTTTGAACATTTTCAGCTTCTTCTCTGCAACCACTGAACCAATTTCAACCAAATTTGGCACAAAGCATCTATGGGTGAAGAGGAACAAAAATTGTGAATTTCATGATCCCTGCCCCGCTGGGGCCTGAGGGGTGGGGCCAAAACCACTAAAATTAATGCAATCTTTAAAAATCTTCTTCTTTATTCCTGGAAATCAAGCAGTCAAACTGTTTGCATGATTGTAATCAGCATTGAGTCCTCTACCAAAATTGTGAAATTCATGGCCCTGGGGTCAGGGGTTATAGTGCTAGGGCAGGGCTAAATAAGTAGGTAGTGAAAATGCATTATTTCTCTGAAAATCTTCTTCTCTGCTCCTGGGTATTAAATAAACCAACTAAGTAGTTAGTTATGATGAGCAAGAGTGCTTCTACCAAAATTGTGAATTTTATGGCCCCAGGGTCAGGGTTTCTGTTGTTTGGGCGGGGCTCTATTGATTATATACAGTGAAAATACATGATTTCTTTGAAAATCTTCTTCTCTGCCCCTGGATATTAAATAAACTAACTAAGTGCATAGTTATGATGAGCAAGAGTGCCTCTATCAAAATTGTGAATTTTTTGGCCCCAGGGTCAGGGGTTCTGGTAGGGGGGGGGCTTTATATATTATATAGTAAAAATACATGAATTCTTTGAAAATCTTCTTCTCTGCTCCTAGATATTAAATAAATTAACTAAGTGCATAGTTATGATGAGCATGAGTGACTCTACCAAAATTGTGAATTTTATGGCCCCAGGGTCAAGAGTTCTGGTGTTAGGGGGGGGGGGGCTCTATTGATAATATTGTGAAAATACACGAATTCTTTGAAAATCTTCTTCTTTGCTCGTAGGTATTAAATAAACTAACTAAGTGCATAGTTATGATGAGCAAGAGTGCCTCTACCAAAATTGTGAATTTTATGGTCCCTGGGTCAAGGGTTCTGGTGTTAGGGGGGGGGGCTCTATAGATTATATAGTAAAAATACATGAATTCCTTGAAAATCTTATTCTCTGCTCCTAGTTATTAAATAAACTAAGTAAATGCATAGTTAAGATGAGCAAGAGTGCTTTTACCAAAATTGTGAATTTTATGGTCCCAGGGTCAGGGGTTCTGGTGTTAGGGTGGGGCTTTATTGATTATATAGTAAAAATACATGAATTCTTTGAAAATCTTCTTCTCTGCTCCTAGGTATTAAATAAACTAAGTAAGTACATAGTTATGATGAGCAAGAGTGCTTTTACCAAAATTGTGAATTTTATGGTCCCAGGATCAGGGGTTCTGGTGTGTGTGTGTGGGGGGGGGGGGCTCTGTTGATTATATAGTGAATATACATTAAATCTTTGAAAATTTTCTTCTCTGTCTCTGGGTATGAAGCAGATGAACTACCTAAATAGTTATGATGAGCAAGGGCCCTAATCTTGCAGAATTTTGAATTTCAAGGCCCCAGGGTCAGGGGTGGGGGTTGAGCTCTACTCATATACTAATGAATTAATTGTTTGAAATCTGCTCCTTTGTATTTATAAAACATTTATTTATTTTTTGAAAGGCAATTTTAACGGTGCCTTTTTAAAATTTGTGCAATGTGTGGACCTAGGGTCAGGGGTTTATTTCACAGTGTTAGGGGCACTACTGATTATTGCTGAATATTACTGATTAGTTGGAATGCATTTTTGTTCCCTTACCTTGGGTATGGGTATTCAGTACCCCTGCGAGGTGATCATGAATAATTCATGGATTTCCTTGAATTTTTCATGAATTTTATTCATGAAATGTTCATGAAGATCCTATGAACTTATTATTGGGCATATTTAAATCAATAAACCAAGCTGAGCAACTGTAGTGTATTTTTATGATGATCAATGGTGCCTCTTTCAAAATTGTGAATGCCATATAGCATCTGGCTTAAAACATGAATCAAATTCAATAACTGGAAAGTTGTTGCAGAATGCTCAGGTGACCTATAAGGCCCATGGGCCTCTTGTTATTTAAACTGCAATTATTAAGTTTATAAAATATGAATTTAGATATGAGAATATATGTATATCTCAATTTTTTTGTACTTCTGTATTTTTAGGTCACCTGAGTAACTCAGGTGACCTATTGCTATCCGTTTTCGTCCGTCGTCGTCCGTCGTCCATCGTCCGTCGTGTGTCGTGTGTTAACATTTGAACATTTTCAGCTTCTTCTCTATAACCACTGAACCAATTTCAACCAAATTTGGTATACAGCATCTATGGGTGAAGGGGAACAAAAATTGTGAATTTCATGGTCCCCGCCCCCCTGGGGCCTGAGGGGTGGGGCCAAAACCACTAAAATTAATGAAATCTTTAAAAATCTTCTTCTTTACTCCTGGACATCAAGCAAGGAAACTGTTGGCATGAATGTAATGAGCATTGAGTCCTCTACCAAAATTGTGAAATTCATGGCCCCAGGGTCAGGGGTTCTAGTGCTAGGGCGGGGCTCTATAGATTATAAAGTGAAAATGCATTATTTCTTTGAAAATTTTCTTCTCTGCTCCTGCGTATTAAATAAACTAACTAAGCACATAGTTATGATGAGCAAGAGTGCCTCTTCCAGATTTGTGAATTTTATGGCCCCAGGGTCAGGGGTTCTGGTGTTAGGGCGGGGCTCTATATTTTATATAGTGAAAATGCATTATTTCTTTGAAAATTTTCTTCTCTGCTCCTGGGTATCAAATAAACTAACTAAGCACATAGTTATGATGAGCAAGAGTGCCTCTTCCAGATTTGTGAAATTAATGGCCACAGAGTCAGGGGTTCTAGTGCTAGGGCGGGGCTCTGTAGATTATATAGTGAAAATGCATTATTTCTTTGAAAATCTTCTTCTCTGCTTCTGGGTATTAAATAAACTAACTAAGCACATAGTTATGATGAGCAAGAGTGCCTCTTCCAGATTTGTGAATTTTATGGTCCCAGGGTCAGGGATTCTATTGCTAGGGCGGGGCTCTATAGATTATATAGTGAAAATGCATTATATTTTTGAAAATCTTCTTCTCTGCTTCTGGGTATTAAATAAACTAACTAAGCACATAGTTATGATAAGCAAGAGTGCCTCTTCCAGATTTGTGAATTTTATGGTCCCAGGGTCAGGGGTTCTGGTGTTAGGACGGGGCTCTATTGATTATATAGTGAAAATGCATTATTTCTTTGAAAATCTTCTTCTCTGCTCCTGGGTATTAAATAAACTAACTAAGCACATAGTTATGATGAGCAAGAGTGCCTCTTCCAGATTTGTGAATTTTATGCCCCCAGGGTCAGGGTTCTGGTGTTAGGGCGGGGCTCTATAGATTATATAGTGAAAATGCATTATTTCTTTGAAAATCTTCTTCTCTGCTCCTGGGTATTAAATAAACTAACTAAGCACATAGTTATGATGAGCAAGAGTACCTCTTCCAGATTTGTGAATTCTATGGTCCCAGGGTCAAGGTTCTGGTAGTAGGACAGGGCTCTTTTGATTATATAGTGAAAATTAGTGTTGGCAAATCGGACGATTTTTAGTAACCGGTTACTCGCTCAATCTTCCGATCGAGTACCCGGTTACTCGGATGATTTATTAATATGTATCTTTTATCTCATATATTACTCATCGGTTCTAATAAAACACAAAGGAATTGTGAAATAACTTTATTTAAATATAATTATAATCAAAAAATTTAATAAATCAGAAGAAAAATAAATATTCAATGTTTCATTTTACAATGGCGTTCATCAGTTTTACTTTTCAACCCCCGATATATGTCACGATCAAGAAGAATAGTCATTTAGAAATTTGAAGTCACGATAAATCCAATTCACATTAATTACAATTTACAGGTATGGAATCAGATGTTCTTTTAAAATGCTTCCAAGTGTCCACATGTCTTTGGCGGCATCTTGTTAAATTATTTAATGAGGTAATTATAACTTTGGTCTTCAAAACTTGTATTACCTTCTGGCAATCAAAGCTATCAATTAATTGTGAAAACCAATCAATCGTATTAGTGAAACCATAGATCATTAAGTCTAACGGTAAAGAAAAAATAGAGAAATGTTTATTTGTATGCTTATAAACAAATAAACATTTTATTTGTTAGTTATTTACCATATACATTTGTAAGATGCATTTTATCCGAGTAACCGATTAGCAATTTTACTAACCGATACTCGCATGATTCGACGGTTAACCGGTTAACCGGGTACTCGTTGCCAACACTAGTGAAAATGCATTTATTCTATGAAAATCTTCTTCTCTGCTTCTGGGTATTAAATAAACTAACTAAGCACATAGTTATGATAAGCAAGAGTGCCTCTTCCAGATTATGAATTTTATGGTCCCAGGGTCAGTGTTCTGGTGTTAGGGCGGGGCTCTATTGATTATATAGTAAAAATACATTAATTCTTTGAAAATATTTTCCTTTGCTTCTGGGTTTTATTCCAATGATCCAAGTATATATATATTTATGATGAAGAAAGGTGCATCTAGCAAAGTGGGTTTTTTTATGCCCCCAGGGTCAAAAGGGGGGGGGGGTTACATAGTCTGAAAATAAATTAATGCTTTGATTACATTTGCAAAATTTTGAAATATGTGGCCCGGGCCATGGGTCAGTGGGTGAGGTGCACAACTGGTTATAAAGTGGAAGTGCATTTTCTCTTTGTTACTCTGATCTATCTCTGGGTATTAAGTAAATAGAGTAAGCATGCTAAGTTAATAATTATGATAAGCAATGGTGCCTCTTTCAAAATTGTAAATTGTGAATTTCATGGCCTCCGGTTTAAAACATGAACCAAATATAATTGTTTGAAAGTTGTTGCACAATACTCAGGTGACCTATAAGGCCCGTGGGCCTCTTGTTAATGTATGTTTTCTCATTTAAGTTATAGGAGAAAAATAATTATTCTCTATAGTCTTAAAATTTTGGCGAACAGCAAATCTATATTTCTAGGTAAAATAAACACGCATATGATAAAGTTTTCATTTACTAGACACTGACTAATAAAATTGGCAAAAAATCTTATATTTCTCAGGTACCAATGCATCAGGTCAACCACTGCCACATTGATCAATTTTATTGGCATACTAGTATTGAAAAAGAAACAGACTTAATTTTCTGTTTTCGAGACTTAAAACATGGGTCTTGTCCGTATTTATATATGCGAAAAGAAACGCGGGTTAATTACATAAAGTATATATTTGTTTTTGAAAAATTGATTAATTATCTTTGATGAAAAATGATTGTTATATAATTCTTTTTTAAGTTAAGTACATTGTAAAGTAATTTTTTTGAATCAGTTGATACCATCCGTTTGATCTATTGACTGAAAATTAAGAACAAAGAGATGGCACCTGCTTAAAAAAGACTTGTCAGCGGCATTGAATTGTCTTCAGCTCGAAAAATTAAAATAAAAATGCGTGAAAGGCAGAATACAGTTTCTCATGCCAGCTTAGCCCAAATTCTTTTCAAAGAGAAAACTCTTATTGATGTTAAAGCATTCTTTTTAATAGAATGTTCGTCAATTTCAGCAGCAGCAGCAGATCCTTATATTACACCTAGTGGCATGGCGGGGATCGGAAATGAGTGTTATTTGGAGGTCCACGACATGGAAAGATCTAACTCAAATAACGAGATAGATTGTACGGGATATAAATTTTACCAATAAACTTGATTGATTGTTTCAGATTTTATATATACCGAAAATCGATTCCTTATTATGTTCTACATATGTAGCTTTTGAATACCTAATTTTTTTTTCCATTTTATTTTGAACAACCCAATGCTAAAAATACGTCATGCATAAATTGCATCATTTTTTTTCATGTATGGCCACTGTACATTTTAAACAATTATTATCATTCTCATTTGAAATTATATATTGTATAATACGCTTGAAATTATTTTTTTAAGTGCAAAATGGTATAATGTAACTTATCTTTTACAATACATAGAAACCCCAGAGACATCACTAACTAATTATAGAAAACACTGATCATGTTGATTTCTTTTTTTAAATTAATGAAATATTTTGAACATTTGGAAATTTGTACTTTTTAGCTCACCTGAGCCAAAGGCTCAAGTGAGCTTTTCTGATCACAATCTGTCCGTTGTCTGTCGTCGTCGTCGTTGTTGTCGTTGTTGTCGTCGTTGTCGTCGTCGTCGTCGTAAACTTTTCACATTTTCATCTTCTTCTCAAGAACCACTGGGCCAATTTCAACCAAACTTGGCACAAAGTATCCTTGGGTAAAGGGGATTCAAGTTTGTTCAAATGAAGGGCCACGCCCTTTTCCAAGGGGAGATAATCATGAATTTGTTAAAAATTAATGGCATTTTTAAAAAATCTTCTTCTCCAGAACCGCTGGGCCAGGAAAGATGAAACTCCTGTGGAAGCATCCTCAGGTAGCGTAGATTCAAGTTTGTTCAAATCATGACCCCCGGGGCAAGGGTGGGGCCAAAATGGCCGACCCAAGTTTTACATAGGAATATATTGGAAAAATCTTTAAAAATCTTCTTCTCCAGAACCACTGGGCCAGGAAAGATAAAACTCATGTGGAATCATCCTGAGGTAGTGTAGATTCAAGTTTGTTCAAATCATGACCCCCGGGGCAAGGGCGGGGCCAAAATGGCCGACCCAAGTTTTACATAGGAATATATAGGAAAAATCTTTAAAAATCTTCTTCTCCAGAACCACTGGGCCAGGAAAGATAAAACTCATGTGGAATCATCCTGAGGTAGTGTAGATTCAAGTTTGTTCAAATCATGACCCCCGGGGCAAGGTTGGGGCCAAAATGGCCGACCCAAGTTTTACATAGGAATATATAGGAAAAATCTTTAAAAATCTTCTTCTCAAGAACCACTGGGCCAGGAAAGATGAAACTCATGTGGAATCATCCTGAGGTAGTGTAGATTCAAATTTGTTCAAATCATGACCCCCGGGGCAAGGGTGGGGCCAAAATGGACAACCCTAGTTTTACATAGGAATATATAGGAAAACTCTTCAAAAAATCTTGTTCTCAAGAACCACTGGGCCAGGAAAGATGAAACTCATGTGGAATCATCCTCAGGTAGTGTAGGTTCAAATTTGTTCAAATGATGACCCCTGGGGCAAGGGTGGGGCCAAAATGGCCGACCCAAGTTTTACATGGGAATATAGAGGAAAAATCTTTAAAAATCTTCTTCTCCAGAACCACTGGGCCAGGAAAGATGAAACTCATGTGGAATCATCCTGAGGTAGTGTAAATTCAAGTTTGTTCAAATCATGAGCCCCGGGGCTAGGGCGGGGCCAAAATGGCCGACCCAAGTTTTATATAGGAATATATAGGAAAAATCTTTAAAAATCTTCTTCCCAAGAACCACTGGGTTAGGAAAGGTAAAACTCATGTGGAATCATCCTCAGGTAGTGTAGACTCAAGTTTGTTCAAATCTTGACCCCCAGGCTAGGGTGGGGCCACAATGGCCGACCCTAGTTTTACAAAGAAATAAATAGGAAAAATCTTTAAAAATGTTCTTCTCAAGAACCACTGGGCCAGGAAAGATAAAACTCATGTGGAATCATCCTGAGGTAGTGTAGATTCACGTTTGTTCAAATCATGACCCCCGGGGCTAGGGCGGGGCCGAAATGGCCGACCCAAGTTTTACACAGGAAGATATAGGAAAAATCTTTAAAAATCTTCTTCTCAAGAACCATTGAGACAGGAAAGATAAAACTCATGTGAAATTATCCTCAGGTAGTGTAGATTCAGGTTTGTTCAAATCATGACCCCTGGCTCTAGGGCGGGGCCAAAATGGCCGACCCAAGTTTTACATAGGGATATATTGGGAAACCAATATATTTAAAATCTTCTTTTCAAGTACTTCAAAGCCATGATTAGTGATATTTATATGGAATCATCCTAAGGTAGTGTAGATTCTAGTTCAAATCATGAACGCCTGGGAGGTTAAAATTCAAGCCCCCCCCTCCCCCCACCATCACCTCAGTAAACTTTCAGTTCTGATCTGATATGTGCTTTTTCCTAGCCGATGTGCTCAGGTGAGCGCTGTGGCCCCTGGGCCTCTTGTTTAAATGTTGTGTTTTCCAGTTTAAGATTCGTATTAATAAAAAATTAGGCTTTTTGATGTGATTGACAGGTTTTTTTTTTAAATAAATGAGAATGGAACTCATAAAACTACTTCATTTGTCCTCGTTTATATGTAAAATACTTTCAAAATACATTGATTTGAACAGCAGGCAAAAATGCCTATGATCGTTGTTTCCGTAAAAAGACCTCATGTAATATAACAACAAAACCTTATTATTAGCTCGATAATTTAAACTTTCCTATCGTCAGCTTTGAAATTCCATACTTATGTATAAATTTAATGATAATTATCGCCTGTACATGGAGTTTATGTCACCAAGTTGATTTGAAAAGTAAGAGCTCTCTAATTACTGACAATTCTTCAACGAGAGCGACTTTTCACAAAGAAGTTGATGAAACAAACATACCAACACTCTCATTTAAAGTCAACATTTTGCAATTTCAATGGTCGATACAATGTCCTTGTCAATAAATACAATCTTAAAAAAAAAATATGTCGAATGTTGACCGACATCATTCATACAAATTGTTAGGCTTTATTCATCACACTTGTTTTTTTTTCTTTTTGTCCGATCATGACAAGGAGCACACGGTGAGTGTGACCGGTGGACATAGGATGCTTGCTCCTCCATGGCATCTGATCCAACCTCTGATGTCTTTAGATGCCTCTGTCTGTCCCATTTTGTATTGTTTTCATTTATTGTTCGTCATCATCATATTTCAATGATAACTGATATAGAAATAAAAAATATAATCTCTACCTCTCTTTAATTATTACATGTGTAGTAGGGGAATTAACAATACAGTTATTGCAACAAAAAATAAATTTTGAAAAATACGCGGGTTATGTAATTTTTGCAACAGCTGCAAAGTTATTAATTACTTGCAACGAAAGAATGCATTTTATTTTCTAAATAAGCTTCATGAGTGAAAAATAAGAAACATGATCACAGAATAATGATTTATTAGCTTGGATGTCAATTTTTAAAACTGTTTTTATTACTAATATACATTAAGGGAATTCTCCTATTTTCAAATTTGTATCTTCAAGAAAAATATACCTAAAGGAGAAATCCTTTAATGTATATTGGTAAACCTTTTCTGTGCGGTAGTAATAAAACAGAAAACGACGGAATTTATATCATATTTACATCCACGTTTCATGATCCAATATTCCAGACCACTACCAATGATTTACAATTGAAACGATTATAACTATTATCTTGTTCTCCTAAAATTTGGATAAACAAGATATCCAGAGCGATCCACATCGATAAGCTTCTTTGGGGTTTAATTCAATTTTTTAATCTTTAAATGTTCATTTATGCACGACGACATATTTAGAGAATGATGGCTAAGGTGTAAGAAACAGAGGAACGGTGAACGCTTTACGGGTTTTAAATATTTTCCTTGCGACATCCATAAGATGATCTGATTTGGGTGAGGCATCGTCTTTTTTGTCCCGGGAGAGGAGTAAGGGAAATATCAGAATTCTCAAATTGGGCAATTTTTCCGTCCAGATAATCAGAAGAAACGTCAATGGACTTAAGGTAAGAGTCTTCAAGTATAAATTACATTTTCGTGTGTTATCATAAAATATAGTAGTAAAATAACGATAATAAATGATATAACAAAAACCATTTATATGTTAGAGACTCATTAATATCCCTGGTGATGGATGTTTTTATTTTTATTTTTGAATAATGAAGAATGGATAAAATACATGTATGTGCGATTCAAACTTAAGAAGGATTGAGAATGTAACGCACGAAAGATCTTGATGTCTATTCAGTAAGAAATTTCACTTCCTGGTTTCGATTTTTGCTCTGGGTTCTCGTGTTTTTGAATGACAATTAAATTTCTTTCAATTCACGTTTTCAATGATGCAAAAGATGTGGTGTCATTAGTCTAACATTTTTATACAAAGAATATTTAAAAAATGTCATTTCAAACACATAATACAATCCTTAATTTATCATGATAATTTATTGCTGTTTCAGAGTAATACCTTTGGTTATTGTGAACGTGATGTTGAGCTCTGCGACCTTGACCCCGGTAATATCAGTATCAGGTGACGTTTACTTGGCGGGAATATTTACCATAAAATCCTCAACATTTGAACATGAATGCAATGGTCCAGTGTCTACCTCCTCAGTAATGGGACTTGAAGCAGTCAAGTGGGCAGTTCGTCGACTTAACCAAAACAATTTCATTCCTGGGGTTCAATTGGGTAAGTTGGTCAATGCGTAATCTTTTACACCTGAAGTTTCTATAAGTGACCTTGAATGAAGCAAACATGCCAGAGATACTTCCCTTTTATTAAGAAAAATAAATAGGTCAGGGTCTAGTTTAAAATGGAATTTTATTATCTTTTCATACTGGATGAATTCTGAAGGCAGAAGTAAATTTATTATTGTAAAATGACACTGGGTTTCTATGATGAAAGAAGTTAATTGTTCAATATAAATATTCGAAGCGTTGTATAGGAATACATGGGGATTCTCTTAACCATCTTGTAGCAATAAGTAAACATCTTTTAAGGGTCAATTCGTTTGTTGTTCTTTTCAAAATATGCACCTATGCTTATGTTGGGCCTCAATAGGGGTTTTAAATTTGAATCAATGTATTTGTATATTGGATTTTCAATTCTTGAGTAGAAAATAAGGATAATTGCCCGGTTCTTTTATGGGTTCTCTTTAATTTAGCTTCTCTTATTTCTTGGATTGGACTCCCAAATTTTGATTTTTATATTCA